AACAGCTATTCATATTAAGGAAGGACGTTGCTGAACTAGTTAAACCTGTTGCACATTGTTTCAGATAAGACCAGCAATGACTAAGAACCCTTTGACCTTAGTCAATGAGACCATAGAGGTTGAAGATAATGACATGAAAGAACTAGGAATGAATGAGAGAAGTTGTGAAGGATGTTTGAGTCAAAACACATGGTTCTTCAGAGCTGTTAAGAAACTTAGTAAAAGAACGACAGAAATATTTTATAGAGAAGTATTGCAAAGGATGTGTAAATGAATTGTTGAAATAGAACTTAGAGACACTTTCACACTAAAGGACTTGAGAAGAAATAAGTACATGAGTGAAGAAGGTATTGACATAGCTAGTGTTATAAATGACTTAAGAAGATGTGTTGTTGTTATTGACGGAGCACGTATGACATATCTAGTGAAAGATTATGATGGAATACGAGACACAACAACACTTGTGTCAGTAGATAGCAAGGAATTCAATAAGCTCATGAAGAGTATTTATGTAGGACGTATTGAAGAGAAGGATGTGAACGCACTGATGATTTATGAAGCGGGTCAGAACAAGAACTATCTTATGAAGTCAGGCATGAGATTCTTTGACGAAAGAGATGACATTTACAGCTATTTCAGAGGATATGAGTATGAAGTACTGAATGAAGTAGATGAAAGCGTTATTGAAGGATATTTGAAACATGTTCACGATGTCATATGTAATGAGGATGAAGAGCTTTATGAGTATGTTTTGAACTGGTTCGCCTACATCGTTCAAAATCCTTGTGGAAAGACTGGAACAGTACTTTTGTTAATAGGAAAGCAAGGAACTGGTAAGAATGTACTTAGTAATGTTCTATGCGAGCTCATTAGCAAGTACGCCAACAATAATATAACGGCAATAGAGAATGTGGTTGGTAGATTCAATGCTGCTATTGAGAACATGAAGCTCATCGTATGCAATGAACTAAGCTCATGCGATACGTCTAAGGTCATGAACCACGACGCACTAAAGTCAATAGTAACAGAGACTCAGTTGGACTTAAATCAGAAGTGTCAGCCAGTAAGAAAGATAGAGAATGTTTGTAATATCATCATGATATCTAACAACTTCAACTCAGTAAAGATTGACAAAGACGACAGAAGATTTGTTGTCATTGACGTAAGCAGCAGATACAAAGGAAATTACGAATATTTCTCAAATCTCATTGAAAGCTTTAATGAAGAGTTTTATTCAAACTTACTGACGTACTTCATGAAGAAAGATTTAAGTGAATTTGATGTAAGGAAGATACCATTCACCAGGGCTAAACAAGAACTCATCGAAATGAACAAAACACCTTACCAAGTGTTTTACGAGGAGTTCTATGAAAAGTTTGTATCCGGATGGAATTGTACAGAGTGCTACAGAAGATATAAAGAATTTGCGAAGGAGAATGAATTCTTTGCATGTAGTTCAAATGTATTTGGTGGCAAGATGAGAGAATTTGTGAAGAGAAGTAGAAAGCGAGACGGTTCTGCAAGAAGTTATATTTATGAAGCAAGTATGATATTAGAAGGTCGTGGAAAGAAAGAAACAGTGAATTATGAGGAAGTGCTTGAAAAATTCATGGAGTACATGGGAAGCAATATAACATACAACAAAGACATATACAGTGAGTTTAAGTACTACTGTGAACAGCATGAGATTGAAGTAATGAGTAAAGGAGACTTTGAAACGCTTATGAAAGACAGTGAGGAGGTCATACATGAGAACAGTGATGAAATAGTTCATGAGAACAGTGAGGAGGTCATACATGAGAACAGTGATGAAATAGTTCATGAGAACAGTGAGGAGGTCATACATGAGAACAGTGATGAAATAGTTCATGAGAACAGTGAGGAGGTCATACATGAGAACAGTGATGAAATAGTTCATGATGTCGTTCGTGAAGAAGCCATTGCAACAAAGAATGAGATAAAGGATTTCATAGAACTTAACAAGGAGGAGTTTAAAGAAGGCTATGAAGTGAAAAGATGTGAAGAAGATTTCTTGGCGTATTTGAAGAAAAAGAGACTAAAGCCGATGGCTCAAAATAAGTTTCAATCGATGTTTGAAAAGAAACGTTTGAGCTATGGTGGTGTAAGAAGCACATATTACTTTGTTAAGAAGTGAGGACATTTATTTTTGTCGTTAGTGTTGGAGTTTGTACTTGTTGTTAGTGAGAGAATAAATTAAATCATGAACTTTGCCATGGTCTCTGTCCCTAGTAGTTTTCATTAAGTTCTGGAAATAATGAAAGTCATAAACTTTGCCATGGTCTCTGTCCCTAGTAGTTTTCATTATCTCACAGAGTTAATGAAAGTCATACTTTCTATCAGATGAAGCATGCAGATGAACATAATGAAAGTTAGTGAGTTTGCCACGAGTTATGAATAAAATATTGGCATATTAGATGAGATAGCTGATGAAACAGATGAAGATAAATTAAATCTTAGACTTTGCCACACTCTGTCCCTAGTTCCTCAAAATCCTTGACAACGTTGCTTAGAAATTTTGGTTCAAAACCTCATCTGATTTTAATCTGTTATGCTACCTGTTAAGTTTCGCGAGATTATAAATGTCATGGAGTTATATAAAAAGGAGGGACAGCTAGGGACACTGGAAGTACTTGTAAGGCTATTTGTTAAGATTGCATGAAATACTAAAAAGTCATGAAATCCATTATCGCTGTGCTAGCTTCACCTTAGAGTAAAATGACGACTAAAGTCACTGAAGCAATGAAACAAAAGTTCTTGGTAGAATACATTAAATCAGGAGCGGTTCCAGAAGGTTTTTACATTCATACTATGAAGGATGGTAGAGTTCAGTTTAGAAAGATAAAGCAACCATTAGATAGAGAAGGAATTTTGAGAAAGATTAAACTTCATGAGGACAACATTGCTGAACTTAGGAAGAAGCTAGAAGAGTTGGATAAAGCAGACGACAGTGAGGAATAAAATATTTCATTAGTTTTATTTTTACTGAAAATTTTTATTTGGATGTAATGATGAAAACTATTGAGATAACAAACTACAACGGTCATGAGTTCAAGAATTTGTTCTTCGTTCCTCGTGAAAATACATTCTATCAGATACGAGGGAGAAAGGGTAAAGTTAGTTTGAGCGTTTATGAAGGAATGAAGAATGGAAAGTTTATACAAGCATACGATACAAACGGTAAGCGTGTTTCATTAGCTTTGTCAAAACTTACAGGTATAAACTATGACAGTGATTTTGACCTATATGAAGAAGAAAGTGAGTCAGAAGATTATGAGCTGTTATATGAAGCACAGCAATGGGAGGAGTTGCAATACTTTTGTAAGTGAGAACGTTTATTTTTACATTAGTGAAGTCGTTTGTGAAAACATTAGTGAGGTGAAGTGGTTGGTGGCTTTGTAAATATTTAAGGTTAAGTTAGTGTTGTCGTTTGTGTTGTAAAATATACGTTAACGGTTTCGTAAAGTGTCAAATTCACATATCATGGGTAAGGAGGCGCGCAGTGCCGCCGTACCCTTGATATGTATACTAACTATTGGTCCGAAATTTTGTTGATATTTTACTTTATCTCAATATACCTTCATAAGTTTGACATTAAATTACCATTGTAAGGCATTATCTGCTTGAGTAGTCACAGTATATTATTGCTGTATGATTATTATCTTTGTATTTGGAATATACACGAATTAATAAAACGTTCTTTGCCGTCTTCCCACTTAATGTCAAAGGTTAGTTTTTTGATTTTAAAAAGCAGGGTTTTCATCTTGTGGAATCCAAGCTAAGCGCAGGATTCCACAAGATAAAAGCCTGCAATATAATTTTGATGCTTTTATACGCTTATAATAAATGGATATTCCAATATAAAAACTATTGATTTTTTTCGGACCAATTCGCTATCAAATTTTAATTTTTTAGGACGGTTTCGCAGATCCCCGAAAATGTAAACTTGCCTCGTGTGTGGCACCTATCCTGAAACTATGAGTTCCATAGTTTCCTTTTAAATCGACATCTTCCATGGAGAAGAATGCAATGACGATAATAATAGTATGGACGAGGAAAAATTTGATAACTTGGCAAAAGATGATTGTGATCGAAAACCAAATGTGGAGAGAAAAAATGTGAACTTTTCGAAATAAAAATTTTGGCAGGATGATTTTGAGATGTTTTTGTTTGTTGTAAACTTATAACAAGTCGTTGATCCTTATCCCAAGATTGAGTCGGATTAACATTGCTTCTGAAATTCTTAAAAATCCAAAGAACATGACTGAAGCTAATGCCATGAAATGGGCTTCTGCATGTTGAGATGTAGCAAAGGAAATTGGGAAAATAAGACCTTGGTATGTTTTTTGCTCCCTAATAGAGATATATGCGAATAAACATGTTTTCAAAGTTTTTATTGAGGATTGAGCAAGGAAGCATATTGAGAGGTCGAATATTCGAACAATTTATAAAGTTACATTTAACATTTAAAAGACTTAAGTGTTAATATATTTTCATATTTTGATCCTAATAATCGAGCGCAAGTAAAAAAAATTTGAGATTCGTCCATGTATTTAAAATCTCTGAACATTTTGTTAGAAAATATGTTAATGTTTCATTATTAAGGTCAACATATTCATACCATGTACCTCTTACCCTCCAATTCCTTAATAATGGGAGAAACTTTGTCCGAATGTTAAATTATTCAGCCAAAGTTTCTACCATTTATTGAAGGACTTGCTACCTGTGAGGTGCTGGCTTGAGGTCAGTGCTTCACAGGTAGCAATACCTTTAAAATTTGAAAACAATTTATTTTTTGGTGAGAGAACTAGAGTATCCTAAGTAGTGTGTAATGCACGAAGTAAAGTCATTTCAAAAAGTGACAAAAGTGACACTTTACAATTATTTTCCCTAGAATTTATATATTTACACATGCCCGCATAAATGAATTAATTTTCTAATTAAAAAATAAAACAAAACATACAATGAAAAAAAAACATTTAATGACAAAAGCCGACCAAATTCAAGAAGACTGGCTCAGATATGCTTCCAATCAAATGGACTTAGGTGTTCCTTACGAAAAATTGATTCTAGAAGGTGTTCCATTGAAAAAAGGTGGAAAGGTTTTTAAATTGCATCTCCAAACATTTCATAAAGCGCTTAATAAGTTGGGAATTGATAAAACCTTTCATCATTGCCCTGTTCCTCTTAATTTAGACAATACTATTAAGATTGTAAAAGGATTGCGTGAAAATTTACCAAAAATGGGGTATAAAGCAGCCACAGAGCAAATTAAAACCGACCGCTATTTCATCTCTACACATCAAAACGAAATTCGGGACTTTCGCGAAAGATATCAAAATCTCGAAGATGTAACAATTAAAGAAATTATTAAAAATTCTAATGATATAGATTCTAAAACAAAAGAATTTTATATTTCTGATAGGACAACATTATCACAAAAATTCAATCCTAATTTACAAAATGTAAATAAAAACACAAAAATTCATGCAGATGATATTAAGTGTTTTCATTCCAAATACTTATTTGATATTGATTTAACGAAGAAACCAACCTATTATCAGGTGAAGAAAGCTTACACAGCATTAAAAATCTTAAAACCGCCAAGACCAAGAATTCAAAAACCAATTAGGTGTAGATATTGTGCCAAATATATAAATATGATTTGGCATATTGATATACATTATCTAAATCATCAAATTGGAAGTTATCTTTTTGCCATAATTGATGATTGTTCTAGGTATGTAATTGATTTTCAATACATGAATGAAAAAACTTCTACAAATACCTCAAGCGTTATGGCCAGAGCATTCTCCTTGTTCGGAACCCCATATGCCATATGGGCAGATAATGGGGGTGAGAATAAGGGTGAAATGTATAAGCTTTTAAAAGATTGCAACGTTCAAATTATACATACAGAAGCATATACTCCTCAACAGAATGGCAAGATTGAGCGAATCTGGCCATCTGTTGAGGAAAATTGCAACAATCCGGAAGATCTACAAGAATACTTCATAAATTATAATAACAAGCCTCATATGGCCCTACCGATTAATCTTTATACCGATTCCCACTTTACACCACAAGACTATTACAATTTTGAAAAAAAGTGGGACTTTGAAACAAGACCGGTATGGTTTATTGACGGTCATGAACAGGACTTCAATTTAAAGACGAAAAAGCCGAACGTTCGTTCAAGAGATTTATCTGATTAGTTAAAAAAATCAAAATTTTCGAAAAAAAATCATATAACATACTTGTAATTACCGAATAAAAAGTACTTTTATAATTAATTTTATCTAGTTTTTAGTTTTGAGTTGAATCGTTGACGATGTCGTCAAAAATTCCTGAGACGTAGAGAAGGAATTGGAGCCTGGGAGGCACTGATTCTTGATCAGTGCCAGGTAGGCTCTTATGTACTGTGTAGATTGTAGAAATTTGAAAAGTAAGAGATAAGAATTAAGTAAAATTTTAAAGTTAATATGTGGAAATTGTAGTGTAGGAAGTACAAACATAGACTTTAGATGGCCGAACGTCCATTTTTTCCTATGGCGTCGAGAAAATTTTGGTGAAATGCGACGACATTTCACCAAAATTTTCTCGACGCCATATACAGAACTAGAGTCTGCCAGGTACTGATTCTATCTATGTACCTCGCAGACCCTAGTTCTGAGCCAAAATGGCTAAAAATTGCTCGCAATTGTTCACATTGCGAGCAATTTTTAGCCATTTTGGCTCAGACTTTAATAATAAATAATATATAACTTATACGTGTAATATTTATTATCTTATTGCTTTTAATTAATCAATACAAAATACAATTTAATTTAATTGATTCAAAACTCTTAATTTTTTATTCTTTTTATATTTTAAAATAATCTAATCTTTTATTTTATATCAGACATGAAATAACTCATTTTTACATTGTAAAGTGTCACAATTCTAAGAATACCTTTTCAACTTAATGATGCAAATTCGTCTAGGGATGCGTTAAACACGCCATTTGACCGGGCGTACATTTTTTTTTTGTTCGCCCAAAAATTTCGCCATTTGAGAAATTCAAAAATTAAAAATAAAATTTTAATCTTGATTTTTTTATTTTCGTGATTTTTTTGAAACTTACATAAGCGATGAAATACTTTTTTAAGTAATCGTTTATTATATATAAATATATCTTAATAAATTTAATTCCTTAAGGTAGAGCGTGTTCAAATTTAAAATCTCATACAATATTTTCTTAATGGCGTATTTTTCTGAGGTCGCCCAAATAAAGGCGAATTCAAAATTGAGAACTCCAAGGCGTATGGCGAGTATTCAAAAAGTACGCCACTTACAAAATATTGAATGTGGATTATCAATTTTTTGGCGTGTTCAATTTCAAATTTTGATATTTATGTTTATTTTATTCAGTATAATGCTAAGAATTAAAATATAAAATTCATAGAATTTTTTCTTTGAAAATATTTTACATTTTTATTAGACCACTCCTAGACTAGTCATCAGGTTATCCTCAGATCATCCTCAGACTACTCCTTAGACCCCTCCTCATCATCCTCAGACTACTCCTTAGACCCCTCTTCATCAGACTAGTCCTCAGATCTTCCTTATAAGACTCCTCCTCAGATCTTCCTCCTGAGACTACTCTTCAGACTACTTCTTAGAGTCCTCCTCATCAGACTAGTCCTCAGATCTTCCTTATAAGACTCCTCCTCAGATCTTCCTCCTGAGACTACTCTTCAGACTACTTCTTAGAGTCCTCCTCATCAGACTAGTCCTCAGATCTTCCTTATAAGACTCCTCCTCAGATCTTCCTCCTGAGACTACTCTTCAGACTACTCCTTAGAGTCCTCCTCATCAGACTAGTCCTGAAACTAGTCCTCAGACTACTCCTGAAACTACTCCTCAGATTATCCGCAGACTCCTCCTCAGATTATCCTCAAACTACTCCTCAGTCTAATCCTCAGACTCCTCCTCAGATTATGCTCAGATTATCCTCAAACTCCTCAAACTACTCCTCGGTCTAATCCTCAGACTCCTCCTCAGATTATCCTCAAACTCCTCAGACTACTCCTGAAACTACTCCTCGGTCTAATCCTCAGACTCCTCCTCAGATTATCCTCAAACTCCTCAGATTATCCTCAAGCTCCTCAGACTACTCTTCGGTCTAATCCTCAGACTACTCCTCAGATTATCCTCAGACTCCTCAGACTACTCCTCCAACTCCTCAGATTATCATCAAACTCCTCAAACTACTCCTCGGTCTAATCCTCAGACTCCTCCTCAGATTATCCTCAGATTATCACTTTAGTTAGTATACAAGTCTTGGGTACTGTGGCACTGCGTTCCACCTTACCCAATACTTGTGAATTTGACACTTTACAAAACCGTTAACGTATATTTTACAACATGAACGCAAAAACTAACTTAACCTTAAATATTTACAAAGCCGCCAACCACTTCACTTCACTAACGAACTCACTAATGTAAAAATAAACGAACTCACTATCGTTCTCACTAACGACTTCACTAATGTTCTCATAAATTTTCCTCAATATCTTCATCATCAGTGTTAACCCTATTGTAGTCATACTTGAAGCCATAAACTTTCTCTAACTTCTTAACGTACAATTTACATAACTTACCTTCGTCATCGTATGGTTTAATGATATAACTATTTCTATCTTTATACACAGTCAATGAAAAGTCAACTGGTCTCGGATGTATTTGAAAGAACATGTTATGCTCAGGAAGGAAGAATAAATGTTTAAATGTATGTTTGTTATATGTTTTGATTTGTATGAGTTGCTTTTGTTCTGTCATTACATCCAAATAAAATAAAAATAAAATAAAAAATAAACTTAAAATTAATGATATCACCACCCTCACACGTATGAAAACATAGCACAAAAATAATGTTTATGTTAGAATGTTAGATCTAACACGTTTTCTAACCTCAGCGCTAAGCGGCGAGACCCTTTGGGTCTTTTCACCCTGTTGAATTCATTGCTTTATAACTCTCTTCCTTGGTTTCTTTTTAGTTGCTTTCTTCACGTCTGTCTCCAACTTGACTGTCTTTCTTCTTCGTCCGTAATGATACCAGTTACTTCCACCAGTCAATGGGTCAAATGGTCTTTCGTAAGGGTTTCCATACATTCCATAGGGACCATACGGAAGAACTACTGGTGGAGAAGAAACATTTTCTTTAGTTCCATCGAATCTATTTAAATGCATTGTTTCACCTTTCATCTGGTCATTAAAGTCTTTTGCGTGTTTTGCAAACTCATCGTCCTTTCCTAAAGCATTTTCTGACTCAGTCGCAACCAAATTGGATGCTTTATTTATGAGCCCTATTTTATTTAATCTTAACTTCTTTGCAACCCAGCCTCCAATCTTTCCTTTATTTGCATCTAATGTCTTCGAAACCCTTCCTCCACTCATTTTATTTACTGCGTCATAAGCTCCAAGTGCTTTTGCTCCAAATGCTAATGCTTTTGTTCCCATTGCGCCTAAAGCTGCCCAAGCTACCATTTACACCATATTAAAATCATCTCTCTTCAATATTATCTCATAAAAGTTCTCGTTACTGGAGAAAGTCAATGAAACATAAGCGTTCTCACGGGCTTCGCCCTCACCGCTTTGCGGTCTATCTAACTTCTTTCTTATATCATCTATACGCTTCAAAATGTCTGAACAATTGCTAACATCTTCTACAACAGTTATTTCATCATGAATGACCTTCAAGAACAAGCTCATTTAATATGCTATTAAAATCATCTCAATAATGAGTCCATCCTTTCCATCTTTAGGTAGCACAACATCTTTCATTGAAGAAGGTTCGACAAGTCTTATGTTAAACTTACTGACAAAGTTTGTTATACTATAATGCTTCGGCGGCGAATACATGTAGTTTGAAAGACATAATATAGATTCTTCAGCAAATTCACTTATACTGGATTTTATAACAATGTTCTCACGAGACCAAATACCACCAATTGACAATCTTGTAAGCAATCCTGCTGAACCTTCTACTGTAAACGTCGATGGTAACATTCCACGAAGGTCATCTATTGACATCTTTGAGTCACTGTATTTAAATATTTTCTTAAAGCAATCGTCATTATCTAACCATGCAATAGCTTTGAAGTTTTCATTCGAATATACATCTGCTTCATTAAATGTAAAACCTGACTTCTTTGCAGAGACGACTTTAAAATCTATTGAGTTTGTTTCAAAATTATATGCTATGGTAACTTCTGAAGGTAATGGATGTCCTTCCGCAGTCAGTTGTTCTCTCACTACCGTTTGAAGCTTTGTATTAAAAACTTTCATGTCATCTCCTGTATCTAAGTTCACATACACAGCAACAGGAAACTATCTTGCTTCTTTGTTTCATCATTATATCTCAAAACATTAAAGTTCTTCAATAATATTGTCTTCCTGCTGGAATACTTCTAACTTGTCTTATTTCAATAGCTTTCTCACCTCCTACATACTCTACCCAGTGTCTTGGATATTCATAAGTATACTGACTTTCTTGAATTTTGGTTGGTTTCATCATAACATGTTCATAGTATATCTTTATACTCTTGTCAGTTAGACTCGGTGCTATGTTCTGAATATTTCTGACTTGCATTTTTAATGGAGATAAAATGAAGCATTTAATACATGACGTAGATGAAGACATGAATGAAACTACAGACAAACTTAACTCTTCTCTCTTCTTCCTTTCAGTAAGGACTATGAGTTCTGTTCAAATGGTGTTTATTTCTATTGTGGAAAGATGGGTTCAGGTAAGACATTTAACCTCATTCGTCATATACTCATAACAGAACGTTTAGGAAACGACTCTATTATGACCAAATCATTATATCAGCAACTTCAGACTCTATGGACTCAACAGCGAAAACATTTATGTCAAAAGTTCAAGCCTCTGTCGTTAAAGTTCCAGACAGTGAACTCATTGAATTTCTTCAACGTTACATTCGACGTAAGAGGAAATATTATGCCATCGTAGAGTTCATACAGTCAGGAATGCAAAAGACTTCTGAGAGATGGAAAGAATTATTGACAAACACCACTTACGTCAATACTCAGGAGTTTACGATATGAAACGACTTACAAACTACATTCTGTCAAAACTTTCAAAATACCCCTTCAAAAAGTATCCTTCAAACACTCTGCTCGTTTGCGACGACTTCGCCGGAAAAGGTTTAGT